CTCGAATGCTTAAAAGTTCTTCAAACTCAATATCATTTGTGAAGGAAAAATTTATTTCTTCATTTGACAATTAATTGCAAAATATTTTCAATTTTAGTTTTTGATTGACTTTTCTAGCCACCACCAGCGACTACCGCCACCACTGTATTATTTCTTTGATTTCCACCGCCACATGTTATATTTACTTCTATTTATTTTGAACATTAATAATTTTTGGTGTTACAAAGACTTAACATTAATAATTTTTCAATGTAAATCTTGGGAGTTCGAGCTCGTATAGCAGTACTTGCTATAAGAAGGTAACGTACGATACATGTAATTATTTATTTAAAATATAATATAATTTTTAAAGTTAAATAAAACCTTAAGAGAATGGAAACGTTTCGCAAAGCTCATACCGATAAGAATGGTGTATTTGTTACTGCTAAGGCGGAACAACAATATGTAAGTATTTAATTATAATTTTATCATATAATTAAATGTTTATTTATAGTTAATTGATACTCACTTTTGGGAGTTACAGAATCGGTTAGTTGAAGTGCTGTTAGAAAAAACTCAAGGTGAAAGTGAGTTAACACCCGCTCAAAAAGAGCTGCGTTTGAGAAAGTATTAGGAGAGCGACGTGGCCATATTAGAGGCATTGACCGTAAACCTTCTGCTCTCCCGCCGATTCCACAGTCTTCGCAACCATCACCACAACCATCATAGGTAAAACAATCTACTTTGGTTTTTTGTGGTAATTATTTGCTAAAAACTTTGGTAATTAGGTTTTTGTCCCAAGTGCAAAAAATAACAACGTACTTTGGTTTTTTTGTCTTTGTTTAAAAATAGCAATCTACTTTAGCATCATAAAATGCATGTTGATTTGGTAATTTTGGTTTTGTGGTGATTATTTGCTAAAACCATTGGTAATTGGGTTTTTGTCCCAATTGCAAGAAATAGCAATGTACTTTGGTTTTCTATCTTAGTTGAAAATTAGCAATCTACTTTAGCATCATAAAATTCATGTTGATTTGGTAATTTTGGTTTTGTGATGATTGTTTGCTAAAAGCTTTGGTAATTAGGTTTTTGTCCCAAGTGTATCAAATAACAACATACTTTGGTTTTTTATCTTGTTTTAAAAATAGCAATCTACTTTAGCATCGTAAAATGCATGTTGATTTGGTAATTTTGGTTTTGTGATGGTTATTTGCTAAAACCATTGGTAATTGGGTTTTTGTCCCAAGTGCAAGAAATAACAATGTACTTTGGTTTTCTGTCTTAGTTTAAAAATAACAATGTATTTTGATAGTTTTGGTTTAGGTTTGATAATTTAACTTATAAGTTTATATATGTTGTTATTAAATATGTTGTTGGCAAATCTTCGTGCAATGCTCAACGACCCGACATGTAGGCATTATCTTTATTTGTTTTTTCAATCCCAAGATAATTTAGGAAACAATGGGAACGGAGATGATGGTATGTAGAGATGAGTTTTATTTGCATATTACACTTATTGTCACACTTTGCTACTTTGTAGATTGTAAAACTTTGGTTGTTTTCTGTAATTACCGACACTAATATCGGGCGACATTATTACTTTTTATATTTAATCGGACGTTATGTAATTACCGGGATACACTATTACCGACAACATTATTACTTTTTATATTTAATCGGATATTATGACTTTTGATATTTAATTATAATCGGATGTTTGTTTTGTAATTAGCGTCGACACTATTATTTTTGACATTAAAATCGAATGTTGTTATGTAATTACCGAGGACATTATTATCGTCAACCAAAATCGTTAATTAAAAAAAAATAAAAAATAAAAAGTGTTATTACCGGAGACTAAGTCATTAGCGGCAACATTTCTCATTAGCGGCGACATTTCTTATTAGCGGCGACAAGTTGATAAATAGTGACGAAGCAGTAGCGGCGACTTATTACCGGTGACGTGTCGCCGCTATTACTATTAACGGCGACAATTTGAACTTTTAGCGGCGATTTTTGTGGCCGCTAATGACCATTTTCCTTGTAGTGAATCGTAAAAGACATAAATAAAAAAGATAAAAGATGAAATGTTAAATTCATTACTGGTTAAAAATAAAAATATACATTTTCTTTTACACTACAAGAAATACAGACATTAGCGGCGACATGTAATTGACGCGTTAATGTTATGATATGTTGGTAATATATTTTGTTTTCTTTGTAGTTGGAAATGCTGCAAACGATACTGAAGGACGAGACATGTTCTGCGGCATTGTTTTTGGTTTGTATAGACTAATATTTTGGATTGTGGATTAATATTTTATAAATGTTATATTGCTTTTGGTTGTGTATGGGTTAAATGTAATAGATTTTATAAAATTGTGGATTAATATTTCAGAAAATTGTAACAAATTTCATAAAATTGTAACAAAAAAAATGAAAAGAGTTTTTGCGGCGACGCGTTTAGTGGCGACACATAAGTATTAGCGGCGGCGTGTTTTTAGCAGCGACATGTCAATAGCGGCGACAAGCGCTATCTTTTGCGGTGACCGACTTCGCTGCTAATGCTAGTATTTCTTGTAGTGTTTTAAAAACAATCGAAAACGATAAATATAATTGGCCTTTCTTTGAACCAACTTATTTCTATAGGGTATTTAAAAAGCAACTTATTTTTATAATATATTTTGAAAACTAACTTACATAAAAACAAAAAAAAATCGTACAAATATGCATGAACTTCGGTCTATAAAGCAACCAAAGATTTAGTTGGTTAACATATTTTGAAAATTTTATAATATAGTTCCGTTAATAAAAATTCTGTACATTGTCAATAAATTAATTGATGGATGCATGCATGCCCAACTTGTTGATCACAACCTTTGTGTTTAAAACCAAAAGAAGTTGGTCACAACAAACCTACACATTCAAGAAAACTGATCGATTGGAAGATCTCCTGTAATACTGTGATTAGGCAGAAAAACATGATATATGTACATACCGCAACATGCATGAGAAAAAAAATGTAGTGAAGTTACAAGTAATTAATTCTAATACCATATGGATGAAAAGAAATGTCGTATTGCAATGTACCCTTGGTTTGCTCTAGGCCACCTTACACCTTACATACACTTAGCCAATATGTTGGCTAAAAAGGGCCATAAAGTCTCCTTCTTGGTACCTAAAAACACACAATATAAACTTGACCCATTTAACCATCATCCACACCACATCGCGTTTGTGCCTATCACGGTTCCTCATATTGAAGGTCTCCCTATGGGTGCTGAGACAAGTTCGGACGTACCCTCTTCATTACACCCTCTCATCATGACTGCCATGGATGCAACTCAAGAGAACGTTGAGCGTATACTAAAAGATCTTATGGTGGACTTTGTTTTCTTCGATATGGCTCACTGGATTCCAAGTCTTTGTCGCCGAATTAGGGTCAAATCGGTGAATTATTGTGTTATTACTCCGGTGGTCATTGGTTATATCTTCTCACCCGCACGACGAGTTCATTGGGACAAGGTAAATTAGTGAAATTTTAACCTAAATATGTAAAAGATTGTCTTTGAAACATATCAAGAAACTGAAAAGTTACTACATTTTTAGTGCTTAGTTAATATTGCTATATCTTTTGTTTAGGGCATAAGCGAATCCGACGTTATTCATGCTCCAGCTGGTTTTCCGTTATCCTCAATCAAGTTCCATGCACACGAAGCACGCGACTTCACGGCTAGATCTAACATGACATTTGGTAGCGAAATGAGTCTTGTAGAACGTGTATATATTGGATTAAGCCAGGCTGACGTTTTAGCCTACAATGGATGTAAAGAACTCGATGGACTTTTTAGAGACTACCTACAAACCCAATTCCAAAAGCCCGTTTTGCTCAGCGGCCCTATCGTAACAGATCCACCAAACGACACTCTAACCGAAGATCTCTCAAGTTGGCTCGATAGATTCGACCCTTGTTCAGTAATTTACTGTGCATTCGGGAGCGAATGTACTCTAACCATGGATCAGTTTCAAGAACTTTTACTGGGTTTCGAGCTCACAGGAATGCCTTTCTTGACAGCACTTAAGTCGCCAGTTGGTGTGAAGTCAATAAACGACGCGATTCCTGAAGGATTACTTGAAAGACTTGAAGGAAGAGGGTTGGTGTATGATGGATGGGTTCAGCAAAACCTAATCTTGCAGCACCCTTCTGTTGGGTGCTTTATTACGCATTGTGGCTGGGCTTCGTTGTCTGAGGCGTTGGTTAACAAATGTCGATTGGTGCTGCTACCGCATGGAGGTGATCAGGTCATACATGCGAGGATGATGAGTGAAGTTTATAGGGTTGGGATTGAAGTACAGAAAGGAGAAGAAGATGGGTTGTTTACGAAAATTGGTGTATGTGAAGCGGTGAAGAAGGTGATGGATGAAGAGGGTGAAGCTGGGAAAGAAGTGAAAGGTAACCATGAAAAGATACGGGAGTTTCTGTTGAACAAAGATGTGCAATCTGCTTACATTGATAGCTTTAGTCAAGAGCTACAAGATCTTCTTGGAGGATAATGAAGATTGAATAGGATATATATTAATCTGATTGGTCATGTCAGTAGGTTTGATTTGTATTTCGGTTTCTTAACTTCTTATACGAGTACCAGATTTCGTGCGATTGTTGATAAAAAACAAAATCAAATAAAAAGTTTTAAAATCTCTTAAATCGATAAAACCTGAAATAACCGTAAAATCTATCAAATAATCCACCATGACACCATCCATCTTTCGATTCCTCTCACAAACGCCAATCGCATCATATATATTCATATTACAACTGGTTTCAAAAAATCTACAAAATATTATTTCCTAGAGCATAATAATTCATCTAATCTTGAGAATATTCTGTGGGTTGTTAATTAATTTCCTGCAACTTCAACTCCCCGTTCATGGAGTTTCAAGGCAAAGGTTGAACAGGAACATCGTAAACGAGTCAAAGTTTTGAGAGAAATTCATGCATTCGAACAAAAGTTGAAAATAATATGAACTTTGCAAAGAGGGTTTTGTTTCTTTTGATGCGTTTTCCTGGACATGTACACTGCAGAATATATATCCTCGTGGGCTTCTGGATATGTAATGGGTTTACATTAGCGCTTGTACTTGTTGGGTTAATTGATTTGATCCATACGAGTTTGAAAAGGCAGCTTTAGTTGAAGGGGGCAAAATAGGAAAGTTTACTTTTACTATTAGTTTTAAGTTTTATTCATTTGAATGTTTTCGAGTCTCATTAGGTTTCTAATGGTTTTAATATAAATATAGGAGCTGCGTTTTTGTTTTATTGTATTCAGTAGCTTTCTTTTGCTTATTAATAAAAAGCCTTTCGCAGGTAACCTCTTCTCTCCATATTTCTGTCCCCTGTTTGTTATCCCCTCTTCCAGGTTATATTTTCCTCCTGTTGATCCGTTTTCTTAATTAAGCATCAAGGTTTCTTTGTTTTAGAGTACTTACATAAGCAACCAAATTAACGTCACATAATCACGGGTTTCACAATGAAAAAGAGTATACTAATGCTCAATTTAATAACATGGTCAAGATTCTTGGTCAATAACATGATCAAGATTCACGAGCAAGTTTGTCATTCAAGCCTAAAAAGTGCTTAGATTTCCACTTTTTCAACTTTGAATTTTTTTTTTCAAACTTGGACAAAGAGAACCGCATATATAAGCATATGCATCAAGCTCCATATCAGCATAATCTAATGTAAATTTTTACTGTAGAAACAGGTGCAAATATCGTATCAGTTATTATCATGTCGAATTCATCAATCGAAGCTTTGGCAATGGCTGGCGTAGATTACAATGAGTGGGGCATGGAATTCGAGGAATGGGAACGTATGGAGATGGGTCCACCACCACCGCATTTGTTCGCTGAAGATTATGAAGAAGATGAAAGAGTTGAAGGGGGAGTTTCGATGCTAACGAGCATCGTAGATGAGTTGTGTGGAGCAGTCGAAAACCAGTTGGAAGATGTTTTTGATGATCATGATATGAGTGAAGATGGTGAAGATGAATTTCAAATACCTTTACCGAAATATTATAACAAAATTGTGAAGGGTGGTGATGGTATCAAGCGACTAAAGATGTTGGTAATTGTGATAATGGTTATGATTAGATTTCTAAGGAAAGCAAATTCTTTCAACAATGTAGTACATTAGTATTTTGAGTAGGACGTTAAGTTGGTACGTATTTTTCATTCTTTTATTTATGTGTAAATTGGACCATTCATTCCCTCCCAAAGTTTATCGTAAAAGTTGTTTGGTTTTAATCCATTGATTCAAAAATTCATTTTGTAGATAGATTTATTAGTTCGTGACAATTTGTCGGTCATTCTCGTTTACTGTTTAAGCTAAAATTTTGGTATTCTAATGATTGCCTAATTAAATAATAACGTTATTAGAGATAACGGTTAATATTTTGGATATTTAGGTTGTTATCTTATTTCAATGTAAATGTTATGTATATATTTTAGTTTTTATCTTATTTTAATGGAAATCTTATGTATATCATGTTTTATGAATACATCATGCTTTATAAATGCATCATGAAATATACAATTTTAAGGCAAATTGTGTAAGTTTTATATTGTATCAGCTAAGCTTTCGATCACCTCATCGTTTCCCTCTCTATAATGGTTGGTGACAATGCTTCTTCTTCCTCTTCCACATATGCTTCTCTTCCACTTGCAACTATTCTGCACATGATCACTATCAAGTAATCATCTACCAATTACCTTCTCTGGTGAAATCAATTACTACCTCTTCTTGCATATAAGAAGTTATCATGTTATATAGAGGACTCAATATCTTCACCATCGCCAATTATAGATGTTGCTGGCACCCTGATTATGCTAAATGGCTTGAAGCTGATCAACGTGCCTTCCTCATTCTCTACTCCTCATTATCTGAGAAAGCCATGGCAGATATCCTCGGTCTCACAACAACACGTGAAGTTTGGCAAGATCTTGAAGTTGCTTATCACCATGACTGTTAAGAGTGTATGCAAACACTCAAAGACACCCTACGACAACTTCAAAAAGGATCCTCAACAGTTTCTGAATTTGGTCGAAAATTCAAAGCCCTATATCACCAACTCTCTACAATTGGTCATCCAGTTGTTGAGTTTGACAAAACTCATTGGTTCTTGTGTGGTCTCGGGCTTTCCTTTAAAACCTCCTCCACCACACATTGAGAAATCAAATCGCGCCCATCATTTCGTGAGCTTCTTGCCCAACCTGAAAGCCATGAGCTTTTTATTACAACAATACATAGCTCATCTCTTCTTATTGTTGCTTTTATAGCTCATCGGGACTCTCCTTAATTAACAACTTCTTCTCGTTGTGGTTTTACTGTTAGACGCAATCATGGTCAGGGTTCCATTTCTGGTGGTTGTGGTCGAGGTCATCAACCACCACACTGTCAGCTATATCGGAAGAACGATCACTTCACTAACTCATGTTCAGATCTTCACACTGGTTCTCCATAACGTTCTAATTCAAATGCTTCTTTTCTCAATCTTTCCAAACTAAATTTTGTGTTACTCCCGAATCACTTGATTGGTATGTTGATTATGGCACCTCTTCACACATGACATCTTCAAACGTAACTTGATACATCATCCTTGTACTTGGGAAACGACCAATTCGTCTTTAGTAATGGTAATGTTTCTCCTATTTCCCATATTGGTAAATCTAAGATATCAAAAGATATTCACATATTGGATGTACGTGTGGTTCCACACCTTACGAAGAATCTTCTCTCAATTAGTAAATTAACAAAAGATTCCCCGCTAGATGTAACATCCCAAAAATTCCAATAAATTCTACCTTTTTAAACCATCAAATCCATACGACCTTTTGTTCCAAAACCAGTCAGAGTAAAATCTATCTTTTAAACATCAGAGTAAACAATAACAATCAATACCTAAAAGTCATTAGGGAATGGTGTGCAGTCAAGTCGGGCTCTTCCCTTATGGAACTGGAAGTACGTGAAAATGTTTAAACCACAAACTGTAAGTACAAAGCTTAGTGAGTTCCCCAAAATACAACATAGCCATACATAACAACGACCCTCACCCTAATCTATGGCCCAAACCATCACTAAGCCTCCCACCCCTAAAAATGTTATAACACCTAATCATGCCAAACGTTAATGATCTGAGACCAAAGAGTCTCAAACATATGAATATCGGGTCCCGCCTACATGATTCATACACTCACTAGCTAACAATATAGCGTGACACCATCCAATCCACTAGAATGATAAGATCGCGGGGCATATTGATCTTGCCATCATTCCATCACTGACCTGAAGACTCACAACCATCACCACATGCCCTGAATCAAACCTCGAGTGTCAGAAAGGTCCGCTCAATCTATCCATCGATTTGGGGGTGATATGTTAAACTGAAATGCAGCTGAATACCCAACAATGAACGAATGCCATTATAGTTAACTAATATCAAAGAGGGATACATCCCCATTTGAGTCTTAAAATCCCTAAACCATGCATGCTAGAAACTCGCAACTCTAATTCGTCCAAGGCCTCCCTAACCTTGCCAACGATGAGAAAACCTCAAATAAACCTATCCACATAAAACATATCTAACACTCTTACCCAAGATAACATGACCAAATGGGCCTTGCCCACGGGTATCCCTCGAGATAACATAACCAAATGGGCCTCTCCCTTGGGTCTCACCCAAGCTAACATAACCAAACGGTCCACGCCCAAAATCAAGAGCTATATAAGCCTAAACATCGCCACAAACCCTCTCATCCCTCATGCCCAAAAAGGAGTTAATAACAAGAATGACGAGTTCAACTAGACCCAAGTAAATGTTGTGATCCTCCCACAAGTCTTACAATCACCATCGCTACGGCCTAACACATCCCATTGAATGCTATGACCAGTTCGTGGTTCTACAACACTCCGGATATTGCTATGGGTCCACCCCATGGTCTTGCCAACAATCCATAAAGATTAACCAACCAAAATCAAAATGAGTCGGAACCTTAGTCTACTAGACCCTATTACTCGTGTAGATCATGCTTCGAACCCCCAAAGCCTTAATTAGACAAGAACATGCAAAGAGGCCTTCACACAACCCTTGACTTGATCTAAGACAAGAACCCATGTAACACCTCAAAATTCAACCCAATTTTTTCAATTAAAAATTTAAGTGTTTATACAATTTACAACTATGAACATCTTAGATATAACCATTTGACTAAAAACACTTATCAGAGTTTCGTCAAAAGCTATCATGTGCATAAATCTCCTATAGATGCGATAAAATCAAGCAGTGCCCCTCCTTTGATATAAGAAAACCTGAAACAATTTAAATCGCAAATTTTAAGCAAAAAGCTTAGTAAGTTCCCCAAAATACCACATACAACGCAACACATATAACAACTACGGATTATCAGCAACCCTGGAGACGACCCGAAGTCTTAACAAGCAAACAGCATGCCCTGTGGTTTATCAGCAACCCTAGAGACTACCCGAAGTATTAGTACTCATACTAACATATATCATTGTAACAACAAATATGACCCAAATTGTTACAACTAGCATTTTTGCTAGGAAATTCTACTCTCATGTAATCATTCACCTAGTATAATAACTTGTACTCTAAGCGAGTATCATACTCGATGGTCATTCAAATACATCTCATATGTTCAACTAAGGGCTGAAAACCTTAGAAATCCCGGTTCAAGTTCATTATGGACTAGGATTCTCTTATTGAGGCTAACGGACCAATAAGCATTAAATTTGACTGTTTTTGGCTTCGAAACCGTATTTGGATTCTAAATGGACCCAATTCATAAATCTATAACATTTTGGACCATTTGGGCCTAGAATGATTCATTCTAATCCTAATGGGCCTTGTTGTGTCATAAATGAATTAATTTGCCCTAATGGGCCATAAACCCATTCCTTTATACCATATTGGGTCGTAACCCACCTTAAGAGCCCAATGGGCCGAAATGATATTATTAAGTTTCATATATTTGAACAATTCAAGCAAAGGCCCGACTTCTCTTTTTTCCTTTCTCTTTACCCTACTCTCGGTCCACAAAAAAAAACATTAACCAACTAATTGCATGACACCTCATAAATATTTGTTGGATATCTATGAAAGAGTGCATGTATCCATGCAACTCTCACATCACTCCCCTTAAAGAGTCAACTTGTCTCCCTCTCATCTCTCACTCTATCTATCGTCCACTCTCTCTCTTTTCTCCAACCTCTCTCTTTTCAAACTCAACCAAACTTCTCTAGATCATCTAACACTCCTCCACCCATTTTCCTCAAGAAAACCGTGAGTATAAGGAATATCTTTAAGAGAATCACTTAAAGCTTTACTTTGTGGTAAGATCTTGCAAATCCAGGCGATATACTTCATCTTTAAACTCATTCACTCCTCTTACATCCATGTTTTCGTGAATCATGCTCTTAGAACACCTTAGAGCTCGAAAATCACCTTAATAACACATCTAGGGTCGAGATCTCTTCACCTCTTCATCAAAAACTGAAACATCAAAGCAAAGGTGAGTTCATACACCCTTTTTTCGGTTTTATCTTGTTTTTTGGGGAGAATACAAGTCACCATGTATTAGATCTATGTATTTGTGCATGCTTATGTGTGTTTTCTTGATTTAAGTTGTGATTATGTGATGAAACACTATAGATCTCGAAAATCTCTAACCAAAAGTAATGATTTTTGTAAACTAAAACACTTCATATAACTTACTATAAAGATGAATATGATATACATGTAAAGATCCTTAAGGAACTTAATAAATCTTGAAAAAGGTACCATTTTTGGCACATAAACAAAAAGTTGAGGTTTTTTGTTTATTTTTGGTTTTTATAAGGGTCACAAGAGTCATTTTATTTTAAAAATGGGTCTTTATCATATTTATGACTTTAAAGGAGTTAAAAGTAAAATTTTCGCATAATGGGCCATTATGGTTTCCTTGGGCCTAAAATGTAAAAATATTGATTTTTATGGATAAAAATTGTCATTTGATACAAATTGGAGCTGAAAATGTAAATTTGTGGGATTAGGGGCTGAAAATGACAATTTAATAGAAATTGGGCAAAAAATGTTATTTTTATAAAATAGGGCCGAAATTGTCATTTTTATCAAAAATGGGCTGAAAATGTAATTTTTGTAGATATGGGTTAAAAACAGCAAAATTTATATATTTGGGCCAAAAATATTCATTTAGATGTATTTGGTTCAAAAATGTTAAATAATATTTAGTCGGGCCGAAATTGTAAATATATATGAATTTTGGGCCGAAAGTAAAATTTTAACCAAAAAGGGCCTCAAATGGTCATTATATTTGAATTAAGCCCATAACTTGAAGACTTTTTTGTCTTAAGGGGTCTAAAGCGTCAAATTTTCCAAAAATGTGACTAAAATGTATATTTTCGGTCTAATAGGCCAAAAGTGTCACTATTACAAAAATTAGATATTTTTATTGTCTTGGTAAACCTCGAGCTTAAACAAACAGCGAAATAATAACGAATGTACGAAATACATCGATAACAATTTTTATTGGGCCTAATACTCCCGTTACATGGCTAATGAGCCTTAAGGGCCCATTTAAATGTATATTGGGCCTAATATTTTTCATTTGCATGTTAATTGGGCTTGGACTAAAAATCACCTGCTTAGTGGATCTTAGCTATATCTCTACATAATTATTGAACTTCATATATTCATATACATACCTTTGGATTTGAAAACTACATGTAAACAATAAACATGGTGAAAAACAAAACAATCGTGAAAAGTTGAGGATCTAGTGAGACTTGTCGGTTGGCACCTTTGAGTGTACGATCGTAGCCTGTAATTATAACCATAGTTTACTGGAGGGAGAGCAGGATTTTGTGTATAGATCTATACGGGGTGACCCTCCACGCCTTAGTTATTCGCTACAGCTAGACTAGGCCAGTCTAGGGCGACAAACCTTACCTATATCAAAACCGGCGCCTGAAAATGCCAAGACGGGCGAATTAGTAATTATCAAGCATGGTTGTAACGGCTCACTTAGAGACTAACTTTCATCAAAGATTTCCGTATATTTATACAAATCTAGACGATACTAAAAACATACATACATCGATACTCGGTCTTGGAAATTTTATGATTACGATACTTTTATAGGCAGAAAATATCGGATTTTCTGGGATAAATATATTTATACATTATCTTCTACTTACAACAGAAAATATAGGGTTTTTATCTGGATTACATTTTTGTTTATTTATACATTCCAAAAGCAGC